ACCCAACCCTGTCTTTAACATCCAACCCTGCACCTTTAACTCCAGCGGGGACTCCTGACTGTTAGGAAGCCAAGAACACCCTTCCAGGTAGAGAGGAGTGCGATGCCAGATGACAATGAGACAAGGGGCTGCAGGGGCCCTGGGGGACAAGGCTGTTCCAGACAGAGCATGGAGGAGGGGCCTCTGAGTAGGAGATCAAGCAGAGGCCTGCGTGGAGGAGGAAGCGAGTGTCTGGGGCGAGACTGCTGGAGGCGGGAGCGACAGCTGTGCAGGCTCAGACGTGGGCCTGCGCCTGGGGTGTTCAGGCGAGAGGAAGGAGGCCCTGGGCTGGACACGGCTGACAGAGAGGGTGACAGCGGCCAGCTGGACTCGGGGTCTGGCGTAGCTAGGAAGTCACATGGACTGGGCTTTCCCCTTCTTCACATATTTTTTTTTTTTTGACAGGCAGAGTTAGACAGTGAGAGAGAGAGAGAGACAGAGAGAAAGGTCTTCCTTCTGTTGGTTCACCCCTGAAATGGCTGCTACGGCCAGCGCTGCGCTGATCCGAAGCCAGGAGCCAGGTGCTTCTCCTGGTCTCCCATGGGGTGCAGGGCCCAAGCACCTGGGCCATCCCCCACTGCCTTCCTGGGCCACAGCAGAGAGCTGGACTGGAAGAGGGGCAACCAGGACAGAATCCGGTGCCCCAACTGGGACTAGAACCCGGGGTGCCAGCGCTGCAGGCGGAGGATTAGCCTAGTGAGCCGCGACGCCGGCCCTCTTCACATACTTCTAATTGGGATAACTCTTGCCTATCGCGAGAGGCCCTATTTTAAACTGTACTGTTCGATGAACTTTAATAAATGCAAATGCTTAACACAGCCACCCCCATCGCACTCCAGAGCACTCCCACGGCCCCAGGGTTCCCTCGGGCCTCCTCCGGGTGCTTCCCACTCTCCGCAGGGGAACATGTTTGCGACTTCCACCAACGGGGATTTGTGTGCTTGTCTAGGAGCTCAGGTAAACGCACCCGCTCCTCCCCGCCCCCCGGCATGGACTCTGCTGTGCCGCTTCTGAGCTCCCTCCGGGCTGATGCACGAGTCACAAGTTCACTCATTCGCGTCCACCAAAAGGATTTCTTCTTTAAGATGTATTTACCTGAGAGGCGGAGTTACAGACAGAGAGAGGGAGAAACAGAGAGAGAGGTCGTCCATCCGCTGGTTCGCTCCCAGGAGCCGATCCGAAGCCAAGAGCCAGGAGCTTCTTCCAGATGGGTGCAGGAGCCCAAGCACTTGGGTCATTTTCCACTGCTTTCCCAGGCCACAGCAGGCAACTGGATCGGAAGTGGAGCAGCAGACTCGAACGGGTGCCCATGTGGGGTGCTGGCACCGTAGGAGGAGGCTTAGTCCACTGTGCCAGTCCTGAAAAGTATTTGGTTGCACCTCAACTTTGTCCACCTGCTTCCCTAAGTGTGGACACGGGGGTTACTCAGTGTTTGCTCTCACAGGCGTGGCTCAGGGACAAGGCTGCTGCGTGTGTTCCCCAGCGAGTGTAGACAACTGTTCTCATTCTCTCGGGCTCCGGGAGGGCATCGAGGAGGGGTGTGTTCCTTTGTAAGGAACCGCCAATCTTCCACAGTAAGGAGACCCTGGTGCGGGAGGCGCCCACCGTCCTGCCTCCCTGTCAACGTTTGGCAGTGTCGGTTCTTCCAGTCGTGGCTGGTCTCGTGGCTGTGCACGGGCAGCTCCCTGAGGTTGGCATCTCCATTTCCCCACGACCGATCACGTCGCACACGGGGTCAGACGTTTCTTGGCCATCTGTGCGTCTTCTTTTGTTAACCTGCGCGTTGTCTCGTGCTGTCAGTTTTCACCAGTCTTTCTGGAACCAGACGCTGTCGGACGCGTGTGCTGAGAACCTTGTAGTTTGAGTTTCCATTTTCTCAGAAACGTCTTTGTATAGCAGATTTGAATTTTGACGACGTCCAATTACCAATTTTCATTTCATGTTTTTTTTTTTTTTTTTTTTTTTTTTTTTTTTGTGAGTGCATGAAAGATCCTAGCCACCCCAGTGTTGCGAGGATGTTTTTCTAGATATTGGTCCGGAAGCTTAATATCATGCTGGCTTTTAAGTCTGATTCATTTCAAATTAACTTCTGTGTGCGCGCGAGGCAGGGGTGCAGGTTCCATTTTCCTTATGCGAGCTCAGCTGTTCCGGGGCCATTGGTTACACGGGACAGCCCGGGGGTCTTTGTCAGAAATCAATTGGCCGTGCAGACGTGGGTCTATTTCTGGGCTCTCATCTGTTCCGCTGTCCCCTCGTCCACCACTAGAGGGGTGGGGACGGGTGTGCCTGTGAGCCGCAATCGCGATCTGATTTATATGCTAAGTAGATCAGTGGGGCAGGGGCTGGGGGAGACCGGAACAGGCCAACATGGCCGCGAACAGAGCAGGCTGAAGGGGTGTAATGTCACAGGTGGGCGACGTGGGTGGTCGCGGGGGCGCCCGTGAGAAGGCAGATCCAGCACAGAGTGGGAGGCGGGGCTGCCAGGGCTTGAGGAGGGCGTGGGTGTGGGAGATGAGAAAAGAGTGGGGAAGTGGGGGCTCCGGTGTCCGGCTCAGTCAACAGAAGGATGCAGCTGGCATCTCCTGAGACGGGTTCCAGGACCACCGGGCATCTGTGGTTCGGAGCACAAGAAAGGTGCAAACACTGCAAGATGTGGGGAGGGGTTTATTTGGGAGAGTCGGGGAAGGGTCCAGGAAGGCTTCCTGGAGGGGGTGGCATTTGAGCTGGGGAGTGCCTCCCCGGTGAGCGGGAGCAGAGGTTTGTCACAGGGCGACGTGTCCCGACTCTTGTGGCTTTGATCTTCCAAGTCCTCAGGTGCTTGGATTCTGTGCCCCAGGGACATCTCCTTCATTCCACCGTCTCAGCGCGAACCCAAAGTCCATGAACCCACGGCCCCTGCAGCTCCCAGCTCGCTGCATTGGTCACACACACTGACTCCGTGGATGCCCTGGCAGGCTGCGGGGCGTGGTGGTTGATAGCGAGGGCTCTGGGCTCAGGCGGCCCTGCTGGTGGACCTGGGGGCGGTCACTCCAAGCTGGCTCCCACGTCTACGTTGGCGACACCGACAGTATCTCTCAGCAGTCTCAGAGAGACCAGGTGGGGACGCATCTTGCACGGAGCCTGGCACTGTGCACAGCGCTGAAAACATGTCTGTGGTTCCTCCTGTTCTCCCCATTCAAGAGATTGGAAAACTGAGGCTCTGAGACACAAGAGATCTCACGATCCACAGAGTGGAGGCTGGACGGGAAGCCTGTCCTGGGGCCTCTTCAAGGGCTCACCTCATAAGGCCCTTTTACCTTGGTGACCATGCCGGGTCCTGCCCACCGCTGTCACTCCCCAGGTGCGCGTGGACCCCTCTGTGTGGGGGCACTGCCCATGAGCGGGCCTGTCTGCCCCTCGCTTTGACAATGGGGGGCGCCCACAGAGGTGGCTCTAGGTAGGGGGCCAAGAAGCCCCTGGGATCAGACACGGCGAGGCCGGGGTCCGGCAGGGGTGCGAGGACGGCCCACAGTCCGCACGCCCCGCCTTGGAAGGCCACTCGCTCTGAGGTCCTGGTCTGGCCTTTTGCCTTCTCATTCTTCTGGGGTGGAGCAGGGACGAGGAGGGACATGGGGAAGAATGGGGGCTCCAGGGGGCTGGCTGGTGACACGGGAGAGGGCCCAGCCCCCCGGCACAGGGCCCGGCCTCCGGGGCTGGGGCGGGGGGCACGAGGATGCCAGCGAGAGGCGCAGTGCACGCCCGGTGCCGTGCTGCCTGCCTTCGCATCCTCGCCCACTTACCTGGGAGAACGGACTTAGCATCCCCGGGCCTCAGTTCCCCCATCTGTGATATGGGATCATAATCGTGCCTTCCCCGTTGGGGCAACGCGAGCCCCAGTGAGCTTATCGGACAGCAGCAGCTGGGGTGTTTAGCAGGTGCTCGAGCCCTCTCTGTCACTCCCGGTGCGGGCAGCTGGGCTGCGGGAAGAGAGAGGTGTGCGGGAAGCAGCCTGGGCCTGGGGAGCTCAGAGGCTGGTTTGCGGGGGCGAGGACAAGGCGTGGACAGGCCTGGCATTCCTGCTCTGCTGTGGGCACGCTGCGGTGCCACCTGTGACACGGGACCACACTGTGCACGCCCACCCGTGGTGACCGAGCGAGGCAGTCCGCGCTAAGGCTCCTGGCACGCAGTAGGCACACACAGACCCTTCCCTGGGTGTGTGGTGCGGAGAGTGCTGGGGCATCTGTGAGCCGGCTGAAAGCAGGGGAGCCCTGTGGCCCCACCCCTGCCGGGCCTGGGTGAGAGGCTGTGCCTGGCTCCACGTGGCCCCCGGCTGTCGCTGCAGGGGCCCTGAATCAGCGTGGGTGTCTTGGGCTCCAGGAGGAGCCGCTAGGTGCAAAGGGAGGGGGGCATGAAGGAGCAGCAGGGTCATTGTGTCCATGCCCCTGCCCCCACCCACCCAGGCGAGAGAAGATTCCAGGTCTCTCTTCCTTCACCTTTCGGCTGGAAGAAGAAGGAAGCACGGAGGGAGGGGGGCTGATCCGAGGCAGTGCTTTGGCTTTGGGGGGTGTGGCGAGCTGGGCTCCGCCCACAGGGACAGGTTCCAAAGGCTGGGCGGCCCCTCCCACAGGGCTGGAGAGGACAGGACTTGGCTGTGTTTAAAAGTACAAGCTGGGTGTGCGCATTTGGTGTGGGGGTATAGTCGCTGCTCGGGACACCGAATCCCGAAGCCGAGCGCCCGAGTTCCAGTCCCAGTCCCTCTTCATTCTAATGGGCTTCCCGGGCGGCAGCAGGTGATGGCCCACAGTTTGGGTCCCGGCCACCCTGCGGGAGGCCTGGGCTGAGCTCCTGGCTCCCAGCTTCAGCCTGGCCCAGCCCTGGCTGTCGCAGCCATTCGGGGAGTGACCCAGCAGACGGAAGGTACGGAAGATTCTCTTTCTCTCTCTCTCTCTCTCTCTCTCTCTCTGCCCACCCCTTTCAAACAGCATGGCAGCAAGCTGATGACTTTTTCTGCTGAGTGAGCCGAGGTGACGTCCTCCCCCGGCCTGCGTGTTTCTGACCCCACACAGGCAGCACTTTCTGGAACCCTCACCGACCGAGGGAGCCTGCACCCTCCCGGGCTCGCCGCCCTGACCTGCACCTTACCCACACACCGCCTGGAACCCCAGCCCCGAGCACCTGCCTGAGGTCCAGAAAACCTTCCCTGACCTTGCTGCCTGCCCCCCCCACCCCCGCCATGTTCCTGGTCTCGCCCCGACCCCTCACGTCCCTGCCCCTGCCCCTGAAGACCCCCTCGGCCCGTCACGGGCCTCCTCGGTTCCTGGCTGGAAGTGGCCACCCCCCACCCTTGAGAAGCTGCCCGTGATGTCCAGGTCCCATTTCCCACCCTTCCCTGTCCCTGATGCTGATGCACCAACCCTCCCCCAGCCCCCAACTTTCTAGGACAGAACCGGCTCCTTCCTCCTGGCCTTGGCCTCCTGATACCTCCCATACTCCTCCGTCCAATCAGCAAACCCCCTTCAGCACCCCGCGCTGGGCTCTGGGCTGAGCCGGCCTCCAGTCTGCCGCATCTCCCTTCCTAGCCCCTGGCTCCCTGACTCCCCGCCCTGCAGGTGGCGCCCACCTGTGCCCAAGCCTTACCCAGCGTGACCTCCGCCTGCATGGGCATCGACAGCGCCGGGTGCTTGACCTCGCAGCTGAAGAGGGCCTCGTTGTCGATCTGCGGGTTGAGGGTCCAGGTGAGCAGGGCGCGCACCTCCACGGTGCCGTCACTGCCCGGCGTGCGGCTGTGGCGCAGGAAGTAGACGGGCTCGGCGCTGTGGACCCAGCGGGGGAACTCGCGGCTCACGACCGTCTCTGGGATGTTCTCGGTGGTCGGCTGGAGGAAGGCGCTGGGATCCGGCGTCAGGACGCGGGAGGGGCGCTCCGTGGAGGGCCGCCCGCCCCGGCTCTCGGTGTCCAGGAGCGACAGCGACTTCTGCATCTTGGTGTCGTCCAAGTCCCGGTGCAGGAGGCTGCGGAAGGGCCTGCTGTCCTGGGCGGGGCCCGAGCTCGCAGCCGGCGGCTCCGAGACGGGCACGGCGTCGATGGGTTCCCCGTCTCGTTTGAAATAAACCTGGGGTTACCAGGAGGGTGTGAGAAAGGATCGCGGCCAATGACCTTGACCTCCCAATGGGCTCTCGGGCTGAGCTGGCCACGGGAAGCCAGTTCTTCCGGAGCCGTCTCCTCCTGGGAATATTCCAGATAGGTGCCCAGCCCCATTCCTTCCCTGTAGCACCCCAACACGAGGAGTCGGGTGGTACAGCGGGCCCGGCTGGGGAGGCCCTTTGGGACGCAGTTTCTCTACTTGTAAAGGTGACGACGCCCAGTGTTGGGGGCTGTGCAGAGCTAAAGTGAAGCCACGTGGGAGACCAGGGACCTCAGCCTTGGGGGCCGCCCTCGCTCCAAGGCGGGTGACGTGGGCCCACCCGGGGAAGCCGTGGGCTGCAGGAGGAAGAGGGAAGAGGGAACAGGGAGGGAGGGGCCGTGCCTGCACTTGTGCGCCTGCGCATCCTGGAGTTGTTAGGCAGGAAACAGGTGCGGCGGGGGAGGGAGCTGGGTGCGGGCCAGGCGAACGTGCCCGTCTCCTCGCTTTCTTGCTAACGCAGAATTCGAGTTTTGAGAGGCGGCATTTAATTTAATTTGCTGTCTTTTTATTTTGGTACATGCGCCCAGAGGCCTGTGGGGATTGGGTGTATTTTTTAATAAATCAGATAAATAAATCGATAGGAGACAAGGAGAGAGGAGCGCAGGCAGCGGCCCTGGGGAATGCCGGTGTGTGTGGGGGGGGGCGGGAGCTGCGAGGGTGGGAGGCGGGGAGGGGAGGGAGGATAATTGAAATGTGGAAGCTGAGAATCTGTCAGAGTTTATAACTCAGCAAAGAGTCTCTTATGCACATAATAGCCTACGTTGGGGATTTTTCCCCCTCCGTCTTCTCTCTCTCTTTTTGAAAAGTGCTTCAAAAGCAGGTTTGTAATTTGTATCAAAGAATTTCTTTCAAGTTCTGACGTCTCAGGCAGGTGTAAGGTGCCACGAATGCGGGCAGATGGGGGTCTTTTCTATCACAGGGCGTCCTAAGTGAGAGCCCAGGCCAGGTGAGGCAGGTGGGGAGGACGGTGTCTTCCCACAGCCCCAGGCCTGGGAGAAGCCGCTCTGTGCCCCACATTGGGAGAGACCAGCTTCCCGGGTTTTAGGGCGACTAGACCTCCCGGTGGGCTCCCAGGAGGAACATCTGGAGCCAGGTCCTGGCTTTCAAAAACTGGTGACTTTGAAGTCACCTTTAAAATCCGTTTCCTTGGGACTACAGTTTGCCTCGTGCACCTGCTCACTGCCCCACCCGCACCTCTGCGTACCTGCTCAGTGTACCCCCACCTGCACCTCTGCATGCCTGCTCAGTGTACCCCCACCCGCACCTCTGCATGCCTGCTCAGTGTACCCCCACCCGCACCTCTGCGTACCTGCTCAGTGTACCCCCACCTGCACCTCTGTATGCCTGCTCAGTGTACCCCCACCCGCACCTCTGCGTACCTGCTCAGTGTACCCCCACCCGCACCTCTGCGTACCTGCTCAGTGTACCCCCACGCCTCTCCCTACCTTCTCACTGCCCCACCTGAGCCTCTGCACCTGGTAGTGCCGCATCTATGCCTCTGTGCCTCTGCTCACCGCCCCACCTCACCTCTGTGTACCCGTCTGTGCCCCAGCTCCACCTCTGCACTCCTATGTAGAGCCTGACCTATGCCTCTGTCCACCTGTTCCCCACCCCACCTGCACCTCTGCACCTCTGCTCACTACCCCACACACACCTCTGTGCACCTGCTTAGTATAACCCCGCACTTCTACCCCCCTGCTCACCACCCCACCTACACCTCTGTGTACCCCCACACCTCTCCCTACCTGCTCACTGCCCCACCTACACCTCTGTGCACCTGCTCAGTGTACCCCCACACCTCTCCCTACCTGTTCACCACCCCACCTACACCTCTGTGCACCTGCTCAGTGTACCCCCACACCTCTCCCTACCTGCTCACTGCCCCACCCGCACCTCTGTGCACCTGCTCAGTGCACCCCCATGCCTCTGCACCCCAGCTAGGTGGCCCACTGTGCTGCTACACACCTGCTCGCCACCCTACTGTGTCTCTGCACACCTGCCTGCTGCCCTATTGTGGGCCCCTGACTGGGGGGCTGGTCTACCTGGCCCAGGTCCCAGGGTCGCAGCAGTAGACCACACCTGTGAGGCAGTCGGGCCTCCCTGTCCTTGCTGTCACCTGTGTCCCCACTGCCTGATAAAGCCTGGTGTACAGGAAACACACAAGGTCAAGTACAGGAAAGTGTCATGCTGGGACAGTCCTCACAGGTGCTTCGGGGCCGGGGAGGGCCACTGGGCCCCACTTCATTTCGAATGTCCCAGACTTGGGGCTTGCGCGGGTATCAGTGGCCCAAAAGGGTCCCACTGCTTCTAGGGATGCCGGAAAGCGTTCCTGTTGCCCGTTTCCCGGCCTCCAGACAGAGACCGGGAACCTGACAGCTGGTTCTTGCTGCTCTGGGTTGTTCAGCGGGTGGGGCGGTGCCGCGACCAGAACCGGCTCTCTGGACACTCGGGCCGTGCTTCGGGGCTTGGTCCAGCCCCTTCTGGCACCCGTGAAGAGCACTTTGAGCCAGGCCCCCAGGCCTCACAGACACCAGCTGGGTCTGACAGCTTGGAGTTGGCCCCAAAGGAATTCCCTCCCCTCCCCTCCCTCCAGGTCCTTCTCTCTCCCCACCCTCTCCCACCCCTCCCTCCCTCCCCTCCCTGCATGCCACCTCCCTCTCCCCTGGTGGCTTCCTGCAAACCACTGGGGTCCTGGGAAGAGCGCTGGACCTGGAGCTCGAGGTGTGGACCTGAGTCCCCGCTCCGTGGAGACCGCCGTGGTGACCTTGGACCAGTCCCCTCCCCTCGGGCGCCCTCCTCTGGCCCCATCCTGCTCAGCAGCTGGGGCTGTGCTCCCCCGGGGCCCCACCCACTGCCAAGTCCCAGAATCCAGGGCCCAGAAGGGAGAGCTCTCAGCAGCGGGAGTTGGGGGCGCGGCAGAGGAGTCCCATCCGTGGAGGGGGTCGGAGTCCGCGTCTTCCCTGGGCCAAGCCCGAGAGCAGGGTGCAGTGGCAGCTGGGGAGGGGGCTGGGCGCCCCCCGGGGGCACTCACCGTGGGCGCTGGCTTCCCTCCAGACACGATGCAAACCAGAGTGAAGTTCTGGGCTTGGTAGCGGCTGAAGGGAGCGGGCGTGTCGGCGGCCACCACTTCGATGGAGGTGGGAGGAGCTGCCCCAAGGGAACCAGAGGAAAACAGAGGCTTAACCGGAGGTACAGAGAGAGAGAGAGAGAGAGGGAGAGAGAGAGAGGGAGAGAGAGGGAGAGAGATCCCAGACTCTCTGATCCGAGGAAGTGTTGGCAGGCAGAAGCAGCAGCAGGTGCGGAGGCCTTGGGCAGGCTGGCCTGCACGGGGCGGCGGTGGGCAGGGGCAGGGGCAGGCCAGGGCAGTGCGCTGCCCCAGGGCTGGGTGGGTGGGCAGGCCCGCCCAGAGCGTGCGACCTGCACACTCCGACTGCCGTCGGCAGTGGCCGCGTGCTGCAGCTGGCTCCAACCAGAGGAGGCCCTGGTGACATTTTCAGGAATTTCGTGAAGCAGCTGTTAAACTGTTGCCAGCTCGAAACAGGTCACAGTGGGTGTCTTTGCACCGCGAAAACCGGCAGCTGCTGCAGATCAGGGGCTTTTGATGTTTCCTTCCTCGGCCCGGGCGCCCAGCGAGCTGGCTGACCGGCACACAACCGGTTCCGAGTTCTTTATCCTGAGAGCAATGGGGAGCCACCGAAGGTTTCAAGCAAAGCGCAGCGACACGATCTGACTTGTATTTTGAAAAGACTGAAAGCAGAGTGTGAATTTGAGCCGGGGTGATTGGCAGCTTAGTCTCCAGTGGGGGCTGAGGGTGGCATGGGCGTGAGGGGGGGGCTTGAGAGCCACTAAGAGCCAGGAAGACCCTCCCTCCCTTTCCTTGCTGAAGTTGGCCCCTTTTGGCCTCACCCCCTTCTCTTTGCACCTGCAGAGGCCGGAGCTCCCGGGCAAGGACACACGCGGAGCCGCCAGGCACGCTTGGGCCCAGAGCCAGCTGGGTCACTACCGGCCCTGTGTCGCCGGGTAAACCCTGAGCGCCTCAGTTCTCAGAGGAGACAGGCGGCTCTGCATGGTGACCAAGGTCACGGCTACAACAGGGCTCGGCGCACCGTAAGGATTTGGTGTCATGATTGCTGCTACGATCTCCCAGCCTCCTCGGGACCAGCGGGACACAAGCAACTCGGAGCTCTGCCCCGGCCAGGCTGCCAGGGCGTGGGGCTGGGGGGCAGCAGCGTGCACGAGGCGGGGCAGGCCTGGCCTTCCTGCAGGGGCTCCACTCCAGCTTAAGTCAATTTGACAAATGTCTCCCGACACCCACTAGGTGCGGGCCAGATGCCTGGTGCTTGCCATGGGGAGCTGAGTGGGTGAACCCAGAGAGACCTGTGTTACTAAGAAGCTCACAGCCCCCTGGGGGCGGGGCAGGGGCAGACGCGTGGGTGGCTCTGTTGGAAGGTGGTGACACAGGGCCAGGTAGGCGGCATCTACTCATTCGTGCGGCCGCCCCACGCTGTCGGCGAGAGAGGCGCAGAAGCAGCCGGAACAATAGAGAATTGTGATTAAGCGTGAGATTACACGGAACAGATGGTAAGTGGGGTAGGCAATCCGAGACGCGAGAAATAGACCCGAACACTTCCATTCCCCAGAACTGCAGATTCTGCAAACTTCGCCGGAACTCCGCGGAACACCGGGAGCCCCCGGCAAGCACTGACAAGCACTCACAGGACCAGGAACCGCTCTCAGCTCCGAACCTGCGTCCACGCTCTTCGTTTGCACCCTTGGTCTACAAGGTGGGGTTACTTGGGCCCATTTTACAGATGGGAAGTGTAGGCGATGAAGCAACTCGCCCAGGTTCACGCTGTCAGTTTGAGGAGAAGCCGGGATTTGAACCCAGGCCATTTGGCTCCAGAGCCCAGGCTCTGACCCGAAGCTGAGCCAGCTCTGCTTTTGGGAAGCCACGGGAAGCTGGTGTCTCTTGGCAGCATGGAGCCGTGTACACGTTGCAGCCACTGAGACACCCACTTGCCCCGCACACTGCAACTCGCACGGATGCCTTGTAGCCCAGTTCCCGAGTGGAGCCAGCTGCCCCTGTGGGTGGCTGTCATGGGCTCGGTCGCCCCCAGGATCCGGGACTGGGCAGTCAGCGGTCGGCACAGACTCCGGCACAGCTGTGGGTGGCACATGTCGGGGTGCCAGTGCGCCTTCTACGAATCCTAGAGTGAGGCCGTCAGTGCGCTTGGCATCACGCGCTCTCCCAGTGCAGGGACCAGGCGCCTAGCACCTTCCCTGGGGGCCGGGTTCGGGACTCGCTGAGAGGATGCCCCAAGGGGCTGCCCTTGAAGGAGCAGTGTTTGTCCTGACGGAAGCTGGTCGTGTGGGGCAGTGGTCAGGAGCTTGGGCTCCAGCTCAGACCCTGAGGTTCAGAGATCGGCTGCTCCGCTTGCCTGCTGTGTGACCGTGGGGGGCTTAGTTAGCCTCTCTGGGCTTCCACGTCCTCACCTGCAACATGGGGTGACCGGGGAACCCGGGAGGATCCAGTGTAGCAGGACCTGCACAGTGCTCCCCAGGGAGCCCGCTCATTCACCGGGTTATTCACCGGTGGTCTTGAGGCGCCTGGTTAGGGGCTGGGGACAGAAAGCACGGTCTCTGCTTGGACTGGAGCCCACGGGACACCCTGGACATGCCCCATCTGGCACAGGAGCCGCTCACCGCACCAGCTCGGGCACCAGCAACACGGCTGGGTCACGTTCACAAGCTCTTGGTGTGAAACGCCCACCAGACGTTGAAGATTTTTTAAATTTTTTGAAAAAGGCTGTCAACCATGCCATGGATATTTTTATGTTGATTACAGGTTGCCATGGTACTCTGGATATATTAGGTATAATAACTGTTATTAAAAATTAGTTTTGGGGCCGGCGCTGTGGTGCAGTAGGTTAATCCTCCACCTGCAGTGCTGGCATCCCTTGTGGGCACCGGTTCTAGTCCCGGCTGCTCCTCTTCGATCCAGCTCTCTGCTGTGGCCTGGGAAAGCAGTGGAAGATGGCCCAGGTCCTTGGGCCCCTGCACCCGCGTGGGAGACCCGGAAGGAGCTCCTGGCTCCTGGCTTCAGATCAGCCCAGCTCTGACCATTGAGGCCATTTGGGGAGTGAAGCAGCAGATGGAAGACCTCTCTCTCTCTCTCTTTCTCTCTGTAACTCTATCTGTTAAATAAATAAATAAAATCTTTTAAAAATTAGCTGTATCTTTTTTCCCTCTTCTTTAAAAACTGTTCTTAATGTGGCTCCTAGAAAGCTTACAGCCGCCTATGTGGTTGCCTCCTATTTCTATTGGAGAGCTCTAGCCTCGTGTTTCCATTTTAGAGGTAAATAAACTGAGGCCAGAGGGAGGCCCAGGCCTATTCAGGGTCACACCAGCAGCCAACAGCTGGGCCTGGGCTGGCTCCTGGCCTGCCAAACCCCCGCCAGGGTTCTTGGCATGTCCTGGTGCCACCTTCCCCTGCCCTGAACACACACGCACCCACACATGCACTCACACACACATGCACACACACGGGCACACACACACATGCACACACACACACACATGCACGTACACACGGGCACAAATGCACGGTGCACACACACACGCACACACGCTTGCACTCGTCCCCATTCTGCAGATCTGCACCTGAGTCACGCACACACACATACACATGCACACACATGCATGGTGCACACCCACACACATGCACACGTGCACAGACACGGACACACACCCACGGCGCACACTCACACACATGCACACACGCTTACACTCATCCCTATTCTGCAGATCTGCACCCAAGTCACACACACATGCACACACACGGTGCACACTTGCACACGTGCACACACATGGCGCACACTCACACACACGCACACACGCTAGCACTCGTCCCCGTTCTGCAGATCTGCATCCGAGTCACACACGCCGCCCACGCAGCCCCTGATCAGGAGCTGGTCCCCGTCCCTCGCTCTATTTCGGAGCAGGTGTTGGCAGTGCGTACAGTTAATCAAGCTCCTAAGACAATAACGATCTCAATCGCACGGAGCTGCTGATATCGGCGCGGACAGCCCAGGCTCCCCGCACGGTCCCCATCAGCGTGGTCCCCAGCCGCCGTGTCCGGGAGCTTGTCACTCTGCATCCCGCGGACAGACGCCCCCTGCCCTCTGCCCCTGCGGACGCCTCCCCCTTCCTCTCCTCTTCCCTGCCCTCTGGCTAAGCGCAGCGCCCTCCCTCGTCCGCACCACGCCCAGCTTCCCCGGTGCGGCGCCTACAGCAAGGGCTGGAGGCCGTCTGGTATTTATACCACCCATGGGCCACGCACAATTATCCGCTTAGAAACGAACCTGCTGTAGACACAGCCAATTTCCAGTCCCGCCGGCGGTCACCTGGGCAGAGCTAGACCTGGTGGTTTCACAGAGCCGCTGGGACCCCAGGGCGATGCTGCCCACCCCGGCCGGCAGCCTCCCTTCGCTCCTGATGTTCCGCACCCGAGCCCCCTCCTCCCAAGCTTCACCCCCTTCTGGACCCCCACTCTCGTCCCCTACTGCATCCTTACGTCTGTTTCCGTCGCACCCCCATGCTCATCCCTTTAAAATGCCCAACCCCAGCTCAAGCAGCAAGCTGCCTGGATGGCCGAAGCCTCGGACGGATCCCGCGATCCAGGAACAGTGTCCGGTCACACACAGATGGGCACCCGTGGACTTGAAGTCCGTGTCACCTCCCCAGTGCCACACCGCACTCCAGAGGGTGCAGGGCAGAGTGAGGCCACCTGGCTGGGCCGTCTCCCGTGGAGACCCAGGTGACATGCAGTGGCCAAGGGCATCAGTGAAGCCCCCTGGTGTGTCCCCCCCCACTTCTGCTAAGCTCCGCCCAACAGGGCCCCATTCCTGCAGGCCTTGGAGAGGGTGTGGTCAGAGGCAGCTGAGCTGGCGCAGGCTCCCAGGGCTGCGGTGGGGGAGAGGGGGCCCCATCCATCGGAACCCACTGTCCTGGGGTGCACAGACGCCGGGCGTCATGTTCTGCGCGGGGAAGGGATGGCAGCATTGTCACCGAGTGGGGAGCTGGACACGGCATGGCTTCTGAACGCACAGCCCGCTCTGCGCAGTGCACCTGCACCCCGTGTAATGCCGGCTCCGGACGGGGGAAGCGCCACCGCCATGCCACACCTAAGTCCCCCGGAACGGTCAACCCTGGGCCAGCACCACAGCCCCCACTGTGTCCCCGGCCCCAAGCCAGCGGTCTGTCTGGGTTTCCTAAGTGGAGAGAATTATTGCCAGAAGCTTCTCTGAGCCCCGTTGTGTGGCATCGGGCAGATCACAGTGGCCGTGGCTGACCTCTGGTTGCCAGGGAGGCGGGCGCGCAGGTGGTTTCGGCCTTGGCAGTCGAGGTGGACACCGTGGGGCAGGGCCGGGGCATGGGTTTCGCGAAGCCGACGCTGAAATATCGCCGGTTGGTCTCTGGACAGCAGGGCTCACTTTGCAGCCAACCTGGCCGCTCTCGTCGGCTCCGTGACTCACCGCGGCCTTTGCAGGCGGGAGCGCGGGCCTGACCAGGTAGAAACCCCAGCATCCCAGGAGAGGGGAACCTGCCCCCTCCGTGTCTACCTGGGTCTGTCGGGGCAACTTCCCACCTTGAGGCCCCCTCCTGGGGTCAGACCAAGGTCACAGCCCAAGCTCTGCCAGCAGAGAACTCGGAACAAATCAGTTGACCCTCCGGGCATCGGTCTTCCCATCTATAAAATGGGTTCGATAAGGTGACCCTGCCAAACTATCTGCTCTCAAAGGTTTGAAGGAGAGAAGCCCATGAGGAAATGGACATGAACTTCCCACATGCAGAGCGTCCAAGGGGCTGTTCCTGTCCATTCCTCCTGGAACCCCAGTGCTGGGGCGAGGGTCTCCTGTCCTCCCAGGAGCAGCCAAGGTGCAGCAAGGGACACCCCACCCTGTTCCTTGCTCCGAGCGCCATTCATCATGGGGTGCGGTCAGATTTGGGGGAGGGGCGGGGGAGGCAGGGACAAAATTATGCAATTTGCAAAAATTCCGCCCTTTCCTCCCGGCGCGCCCGCCCTGCTGCTGCCTGTCTTCTCAGCCCGCCCCGGTCAGCGCACCATCTTCAGGGAGAGAAGCCACGCCCTTCGTACGAGCGCCCGTGATGTGACCGCCCTCCGTGCGCCCCTGCTTTAATGTCTGGTGGACTTTTGGCCCCACATCTCAGCTTCATTCTTTTTCTCTCTGAAGTCTCTTCTCTCTCTGCCTTCGAGGTGCTGCCTCGGAAAGCCCCCTCGTCCTGGAAGCCCTCCGTGCTCTGGCCATGCTGCCCAGGTTCCTTCCTCACCTCCCCATGCCCTGCACCTACTGGGTCCTCTGTCACTTAGGGCTGGCCCGGGGGTGCCTCCTCCAGGTAGTCTTCCCGGAGTTGGCCAGCCCGGGTCAGGGCCTGTCCTCTGGGTTCGTGGGCAGCCCGTGCCCCTCACATTCATTGCTGCCTGTCTGTCCCAGCCCCATGTCTCCCCCTTGGCTGTGTGCCTCCCAGGTGCTGCAACTCCGTCTTCTCCATCCCGACCTCGAGCCAGCACGGGCCTGCCTCACAGGGGGAGCTTGGGTCCGATTCCTGCTTCTTTCCCTCATTTCTCCCAGCATGGGCAAGCGTGTGTCCTGTTGTGGAAGGAGTCCCGTGAGACTGCGGTGCTGTGGGCTTCAGCCCCCATTGCCACGCTGCAAACACTGAGGTTACTTTTGGGTCCATGAACCCCCTAAGCTCGCTCGTTACAACCTCAGGGCCTTTGCATCTGCTGACTCTTCCACCGGAAGTCTCAACTCGAACGTCACCTCCCAGTCAAAACCGGGCTCCCCTGTAGCCTGTCACAGCAGTTGGCCTGGGCTTTTCCCAGACATCCTCACTCTGTACGATGACGTCACCTGTTGCCATGTACACTCATCTTCCCCCGACACCCCACGGGGACGTAAGCACCACCAGGGCCCGGCACACCAACACTTGCCCAGCAAAACAGCTACCAACAGGGTAGTGAGTGGGCTGAGGGCAGGGGCCCAGGGGTGTGCCCTCCACCCCTGCACAGCTCGGACCACTGAAATCTCTCACGGAGGCCCGGGAGGCACGGATCCCACCCGAGGGACAGCTTGCCAGCAAGAACGAGAGAGCGGGGCAAAGCACACCTGCCCAGTTTAGGGGAGTTAAATACTGAGCTCGTGGTCACAGCAGCCAAGCGGAGAAACAAAGGGCCAGAAGCTCCCAGCGCAGCCGGGCGGCACGGGCGGCACGGGCGGCACGGTCCTTCTTGTGCCTGCGTGCTGAGCAAGCCCACCGCTCCCCAGCTGGAAGGGAGCAGCGGGAGCCTTCAGGCCTGCAGCCCAGCATGGCTGACCGCAGCCCAGAGCCTCCCCGCCCCAGGAGGGGGACCTTTCTAAATGGAGTGGGGTCACAGGGGACCTGGTGACAGCTGTCATCCCCTGCACCCCCCCGTGCCCCATGGGTGCCGGCGGCAGCCGCTATGCCTGTGCCTCGTCCTCCCCCCAGCTGTCCTGGCGCTGGCCGACTTGCTGGGTTGGGGGCGTGGGGGCAGGGAGCGGGGCCTGGGGAGGTGGCGGGGAGGGGGACGGACTCCCTGTCCCGCTGAGGACCGGAGGGTCTCCTGCCTGTGCTCACAGCGGCCTCAGGGTTTGTGTTGGATCTGGGTT